ATGCAGCCTCTGCTCCAAGGAGATGAAGTACAGCAACAAGGGCTCACATGCCCTCTCATCACACTGTAATGACCACAGCCAGTGTACTAACAGTCCCAACAGTCCCACGTGCTGTTAAATCACAGCTATTTTACTTTTAGAATGCTACATTTTAAAGCTCATATTTAAAATGAAATGCTCCAGGTGTGTGACACACATCTGGAGCATTTTGTTTCGTTTTGCACAGGTTGCACGTTATTGTTATCTTAGAAAGATATTCAGTGCAAAGCAGGTGAATTGCAGCCACAATAAGCTATTTTTTGTGGGCTGTGAGGCATGAACATTTTTCTTCCTCCAAAGTGGGGCGTGACAGAAAAAGTTTGAGAACCACTGGTTTAAGTCAAGTTGCTTTGTGTCGTCATTGGAACAGGAAGCTGAGAAAGGTGTCCAGTGAGTTAGCAGACAAGATGGACGCTCTGAGTCTAGATGAGCTCAGTCCAAACGAGTCCAAGATCTCCACTGAACAGAGGTTGTCGCGGTTGGAGAGCATCTTCTCCTTCCCAACTGCTGACTCCGCTACGTTCCCCAAGAGCCACTGTCAGGATTTTCTCCAACTAATTCAACAGCTTCCCGCAGGTAAAATATGAAATACTGTCTTGATCTCCGTAGCTAAAGGGTACATTCATGTTTGATTCCATCAAAATGTGCTTTTTTAGAAACTGATCATTCTGTGGATTTTAATCTACGAACAAGTTTTTATTGTGAGTTTGTCAAACTGATAGTATGTCATTCCTTTAGCTACTGCAGCTATACTTAGTGGAGCCTTTTTATCTTCTCCATAACCTGATTTAATTCAGATTACTGGTTGCTTTCATGCTTGTTAAAATGAGCAGAATCTGAACTGCATTACGCTCGTGTACTATTATCCTTTTCTTTCTGTGCATCGCTCTCTCCTTTACAGGGGTCACTGTGTGTGTGATGTCTGTGCTCGGAGTAAAACCCGGGGAGATGGGTGACAGCATCATACTGTCCCGTCTCGAGAAGGGATCTGCACCCGTCACTGTCCACACCCCTACCTCTAAACAACAGGTGAGGACGGTACATTACTAATTACTAGTTACTAAACCAGACAAGTATATTGTAACTGCTTAGCAATATGGTGACACAAGTGACTGTCAAATCATGCCGCGCTCACACTCCCATCTTTTTATCAAGTAGCCCAAAGGGAAATATTTACCGCAGCTTTCGTTGTATTGCAACTGCTTTTTCTGCTTCAATGAGTAATTATGTCGCACTAATATAAAAAAAAAAATGACTTCTAACTTTGTCTTCTGTCTCTGTGTGTTGTGCAGCACTCCATCAGTTGGCTGGTTCAGGAGATGGATAATATTCAGGTGGAGCAGAAGCTTGTGAGCTCTGTGTCTGAGAAAGCCAAGTGGTGGGAGGGCCGCGGGGCGCTCGACTCTCGAGTTGGGGTAAGTGGAGAACAGCGAGGGTGCTGCTGGGGAGTCTCAGGGGACTTCACAATGCCTGCATTATTTTACGCAGTTTCACTTAAAGTTATACACTTCCACTCAGACATGTAGACGAAGAAAACAACCTTTTTTTTTTTTTTTGGTCAAATCAACCTGCCGTCTTTCTTTCAGCGACTGTTGAAGGGGATGGAAGACTTGCTGGGGTGCTGGTGGAGCTTTCTCTTACCCCCTTCATCGGATCCTGAGCTCTCCAAACAGGCACAGCACCTCTGCAAGTCTTTGTCTGCAAAGGGAGTGACAGTCAGTGAGGAAATGTTGAAGGTGCGTGTTGTGTTTGGCCTTTTTTTAGTTTTTTAGATCCATGGACCTTGGTTTCTGTTGGAAAAGGAACCGCAAAGCAGCAACCACTCACACGTTTAAACTTCTGTGTTTCAGGCGGTGCTGTCGGCCTCTCCTGTGCTCTCCCAAGAAGACCTGAAGAGATTTTCTCTGGGAGTCTCTCCGCAGTGGGACACCAAGTGTGACCAGCTTCTCCAAACAGCCGTGTCCCGGCTCGCTTGCAGAGACGAGCCCCGCGGTCATGTGGTTCTCATCCTGGACAAGGTTGGTTTCATCATCTCTAAGAAATACTGCATTTTCCTATAGCCTGATTTGTAGAAAGAGAGAAAAGACCTCCAAAAGCACTCGTGCGATATGTTCTCAGTGAGGTAGGATGATGCTAAAATGTAGAGGTATCCTCTCCTGTTTCTTTTGCAGTACCTTCAGAAGCTGCCGTGGGAGAGCACCTCCATCTTACTGTCTCACTCTGTCAGCCGGATGCCTTCTCTGCACTCTGTAATCGGACTGAGCATTCAGAAAGAGGTACGATTAAGCTCCATAACTGTGCCAATAGGGCCTGTGGTGAAGATGTAGTGGTAGTTACAGATATTATTATTATTTTATTTTTTTTAAATCTTCCCTTTTAGACCGACTCCCAGTCCATCCTGAAGCAAGGTGTGGATGCAAGGCAGGTGTTTTATGTGGTGGACCCTGATGCCAATTTAAGAAACTCTCAAGGACAATTCAAGGAATGGTTTAGCAGGTGAGACCAACACTTGTATGCAAGTCTTCCTGTCCTCAGTCTGTTTTCTTCCCATTTACTACTTTGCCATTCTCATTAAAGTAAACTGGATTGGGCCGGTGTGTGTGGAGTTGCTCCTGACTCGAGTCAGCTGGAAGAAGCTGTTGTTACCAAGGATCTATACATGTGAGTTTGTGATCTTAAGTATCCTGATGGGGAGAGGAAATAATACTGCAAGATATTGAAAATATTGCGTTATAAAAGTTTGTCAATCACTCTTTGAGGAGATTAGAGTTTAAAACAATTCTTTGATTATTCAAATTTGCTGATAAACAGGCAAAAAAGTTGATCACCGGAATTCATTTTAAACACAAATGCTAAAAATTTCACTTTTTCCAGTTCAGTCTTCTGTGATGGTAAGTTGATTTTTAGGTTTTCGACTGTTGAAACAAACAACTTGAAGATGTAATGTTGGACTCCAGACATTTTTTCACTATTTTTTTTTTTTTTTGACGTTTGATTAATCTCATGAAATTACATTTTAGCTGAATCCCTGTAACGGATCGTTTTCTGTTCAAACTCTGATAAAAGTCCCACAGAGAAAGTGTTCAAATAAATATTGTGAAGTAATTGTAAGAGGATAGCTAACACAACACAAATTAGTTCAATTTTAATATTGTATTTATACAATGTTTGTTTTATATTGAGCCCTTTGATTTGATAACCAGTCTGACTTTATATCGTCTCTGTCCATGTCCTTCTTTAGTTACGTGGGTCATGGTGCAGGCGCACGATTCTTCGACGGTAAATCGGTCCTGAAGCGGCAGATGAGAGCAGCTTCTCTGATCTTCGGTTGCAGTAGTGCAGCTCTGGCAGTGCGCGGAGATCAGGAAGGCCAAGGCATCGTCCTCAACTACCTCACAGCAGGCTGGTGAGATATGTCTTCACTAGCTGTTGAATAATGATCTGTTAAATGTGTCCTATGAATACATTTCGATGTCTTGTTTTTTTTGTCCTTAGCCCCCTTTTTTTGGGAAACCTGTGGGATGTCACAGATCGGGATATTGATCGCTTCACCAAAGTCTTGTTGGAGTCCTGGTTATCCGCTGGCTCTGGAGCTTCCCTCCTGGATTATATGGGGCAATCCCGTCAGGTCACACACATGAAACACCTGATCGGAGCGGCACCTGTGGTCTATGGCTTACCAGTTCACCTGCAGTAGATGAGCTGGTAGACCAAAACTCTTCCAGCTAAACTTTGTTTTGCAAGTTTTGGCAATATTAAAGTACTGCATGTTCTTTTATTTAAACTAATGCTTCCATTTTTAAACCAATGTTTTTTATATTGTGAATGATTTTAAATGTTTGAATGCTCATTAAATGTTGATTGAACAATTTCTGAATAAATGTGTTCTTGAATACAGTCGGTGTCCGATTTGTGGAAATTACTTTGTAATTAGTCACATTTATGTGAAGAGTTGGGGAAAGCCTGAAAAAATATATTTACAGTATCTTCTGCAAACAAGAAATATGAGTATAAATATAAGCTTCTATGGATATAAGTTACTATCATTTGGATAAAATCAATTTACTGTGGGAACAAGTTAGATCTTACACAACATATGGAGCTTGTTCTTACAACACTTGTTTATATTTCTTGAAATATTGTAATTTTATTGTAGCTCAAAGCTGTAGCTATGAGATTCTTAATGGATACATAATTTTCTCGATTTAGTTCAACAGGCATTTGATCAACAGCTCATACGTGGGGTGTAATTTTGAGGGTGCTTTCAGGGGCCCTAGAGCACAAATACTGAGTTACATCAGGGCTACCACTATCAATGTATGATCATGTTAAAGGTGTTAGTTGAATGTACAAAATTAAGCAAAAAACTATAAAACAATTGGCACTTTCACATTTATTGAAATTTAAAGTGAACGTGACTTTGGGTAACTTGAAATTGCATTTCGATCTTCTGAATTTAAATTATATTTGGGGTCATATTAAATAATACCAGTTCGCAGGGTGTCTGTGCCTTTGCACAGTGAAGGATATAACTGAATTTGCATTTAAGTTTAGGTACCAGTTTAAAAATAAAATGATCGACATTTTAGGGTATAGTTGAATTGACTTATCAATCAAGTTTTTATTCGATTGATTGTGGTAATGATGCATTAAAAAAAAACAAGTGAGTTTTGTCATTTTACGTATCGTGACAATAATTCGTTCAAATGACTTTATATTGTGAACCCTGAATTTCCAAACGTGTAACATGGTCTGTATTTATATTTTATACGTGTGATATGCACTAGAGCGAGAAAAACGCTTTGTTTATGAACAGTTTGATCGCATTTAAGTTGAAACATGATTGGTGAGCAAGTCAGGAACCGTTTCCGTGAAAGAAGACGGTGCATTTCGTAACCTGTCCACGGGGGGGCGATGTTTCAAACTAATGACCGCCCATCTCCATCACCCGGAAACGATCACTACAGGTCAGTTAGCATCGCGCTTCCAACATGGCGGTGAATCTTGCAGACCTCTCCCTGCCTCAATTAGAGGGACTGAAAACCCAACTAGATCAGGTAAGTCAGTAATAAAAAGTAAAGTATGAATCTATTGTGACTGTTCGATATCAACGTTATGAGGGCGATAATCTGAATGGAAATGACAGGGTAAGGTAGCTAGCTAGCACATCTGAAGCTAACGGTACTTAAATATGCAGTTAGCATGTTAGTATTATTGTATGTCTGTCATCGTTTCACGCATTTCGACAGGAATGAATTATACTTTGAAATGTGGGCTTATTTTTTTGTTCTTATTGTAAATCAGTGGGTTTCAGTTGTCTACTAACGTTACGTTCTTGATGGAGTCAGAAGAGTTCCAGGTGTGGTCGTTTTGACTGTTAACGGTTGTTTTGCTCATTTTCATGTTTTGCAGGAGATCGAGTTCTTGACGTCTTCAATAGGTCAACTCAAAGTTGTCCAGACGAAATATGTTGAAGCCAAAGATAGTATGAACGTCCTGAACAAAAACAACAAAGGTGAGTAGAATACTTTGCTCTGACTTGGTGCCCCACCAATCTTTTGAAAGGGCTCACTGCAAACCAGTGTGTTGCACAAAATGATGTGCCTTGAATATGCATTCGGTTTCCCCAAAGCGTAATGTCGTCATGTTAATGAAAGCAGCTGAAGCTGATTATGTGTTAATTCTTCCTCTCCTCTGTCATACAGGAAAAGAGTTGCTCGTGCCACTCACCAGCTCTGTATCCTTCCTCTCGGGGGCTCATGTTGTGCTGTTTTGTGTTGTGTGTCTAAATGAAGTTCTGTGTCTCTGGAGACGTGCGTACTTTCCCTTGACAGTTCGTTTTCTCAGATGTACGTCCCTGGAACGTTAAACGACGTGGAAAATGTATTCGTGGATGTGGGGACAGGATACTATGTTGAAAAGGCAAATATATTTGCATTTGAAAATCCATAAGTAATGTAATAAATTATGTAATTTACAATGTAATGTAAAACATTCTTACCCTAAATGTAATTTATACTCTCTCTGTAGAATGTGGAAGACTCTAAGGCTTTCTTCAAACGTAAAATAGAGTTCCTCACAAAGCAGATCGAGAAAATTCAGCCAGCGCTTCAGGAAAAACACGCCATGAAACAAGGTAAGCTACTTTCTTAAATAGATATCTGCTTCCTCATTATTTTTTCACATTTTTCCAATTCAAAGCCAGAAATGTTGATGCTACAAGTCCCTTTATGTTTTAACTAATATAATGTGTATCACAAGGCAAGTCCAAAACACATTTTAAAATAATGAAATGCTAGTTATTTTGCAAATTAAATTATTACAAAGTTATATTCACTAAAATGTAGAAAGAGTTTTCACTTTAAAAGTTATTAATATACCACATAATATTTTAGAGTAAAACTAAAATGAATTTACTAATATACATGCTCCAACAAAACATGATAAACAACAAACAAACAAGCTTTGAGTGGAAAATATTCTATAATTTGGCTCAACTGACAAAAGGTTTTACAATCTGTACAACATATGACATCCTCTGTCCTTGGACTCTCGCATCGGATAAGGACCCCTTCAAAAAAAAAAACAGGGGAAAAAAGGAAGAAACTTCAGGGAGAGCAACGAAGGAGGGATCCTTCTGCCAGAAAGTTCAATATATGTAACGTGGACAAAATGAACATGATAAATTTACAACATAGTCAATCCATATGACAGAAATGATACGTATAATGAGAACAGTAACAGCATTAGTAGCAGTAATAATAGTAGAAATTATAGTAAAATGATTACTAATAACAGCAGCAATGGATATAATAGACTGATCATGAAAGCACTAATTGTACCAGTAATGGAAGTAGACATGCGACTAATGATGGGAGCAGTGGGTGTTAGGAAAGAATACTTACAAAAATACATCCTCCATGCAGCACTCTGTAACACACTTATTTACTCGACACATTGTGTTCTTTCTTACAGCGGTGATTGAAGTCATGAACGTGAAGATCCAGCAACTACAACAGACCCAGCAGGCATCCCAAGTGGTTGGACCCACCAAGGCTTAATGAGAGCACCTGTTTGAACTCTTCATGATGATGGGGGGGTGGGTTATGTTTGTGTGTGTAAACCATGTCACCAGTAGGCTATTGTCTTGGTAAAGAAATCATCTGTATTTGGGCAATTTAATTGGGTGTCTGTTAAATTTGCATAATTAAAGTGATCACGGAACATGTTTTTTGTATTGTTGTGTGTTCATCAGTGGGGTCCACTACCAAGACCTCTTTTCTTTTAAATGTATTTATGGTTCCGGGCTGGCGAGAGGCATTATGGTTAAAGGTTTTCCTTTCTCGAGAACGCGATACCGCTCTATCTAGTATTATTTCATCTTTTTTTGGCCAAGCATGTGGACACGTACAAAGAATTCGACTCTGATTTTATTGATTTGGACCCAAGATACTTGTGTGACTCCACCCTCTTCACTTCCTCTCCCTGGATGACAACCAGCGCAGGGGCCGCTTGTTACGCTGGCAGTCCAGCTCAAGGTCACTGGCTTTGCTTATATAGAGCTTCAGGCGATTGTTGTTAAAGCTCTCCGTTCTCTATCAAAACCCAATTCGGTACCACGTCTCAGATATATGTTGTATTTTTTTTTATGTTCCTTTCCTTCCAATGAGTAAATTGCACCTGCTAGATGATGTAGGTTTCCAAATGGTTAGTGGTTACTCCACTTCTTTCAACAACAAAACTACTAATTTAATAATAAGACAACTTATGTCCCACCCCATAGGTTATTATTTGAGGACCAGTTGATGAAAAAATGATGAAATAAATAATTTACAGGAGAATACTGTTATGCTTCTAGAGCAGTTGAGCAAACGCATGGATATATAATTAACTGATTTGTGACCGTAGTCTTGTGAATCTTTTTTGTTCTTCCAATATTAATTCTATAAATTTGGTAATTTATAAAATATTAATATTTCACACTGTGATCTGAGAAAAACATTCTATGTATATGTATATATATTTTACATTCTGCTTTGCATCCCTTCAAAGCGTGGAAAAGAAACACTTCTCAGTTGTGGACTCAAGTTGCTAATGAAAGACGGAAGTTCTCCCATATCTGTTACAAACTTTACATCGGATCATTTCCTCTCAGCAATGCGCAGCCAGTAATGAATGGTAACTCGGATTTGTTCGCAATGTTACGTGAAATCTAGCTCACTTAAAAGATATGCATGAACAAGCTCTGGGAGTCGCGTCACGGGGAGCTTAAGGCAGGTCTCGTAAATGCATCGCCTCGTCCTCTCTCAGGGGTCACCGTCGGGCGGTGCTGGTATTAGCGTCGCTGTTGCCGGGCGGAGTGCAGCGTGTTGGGACAGACGGTGCAGAGGACGCAGCTGTCACGTGCTGGACGAGCGGTGCCTCGACGAGAAGGAAATTCAGTTTAAAATACCACATGTCGTGTGATGGGAAACGCTTTCTTTAAAAACGGAAATCAGCTAAAACAGTCGTCAGTGTTATAAACTAGGGAGCTTTCAAAGTTGTCGTGCGCACTGACGCACGTTCGGCCGTTTGAATAACGTTACCGGGGAGACTATAAATACGTGCGCACGGTGTTTGGTAAGCGGTAAAGCTTTCGATACGAATCAAACCAACGGGGCAATTTGAAATCTGCCGGAGAACTGAAGGAGGACGTAAGAAGAAGGACGGAATCGAAGCAGCATGGTGAGTTTTCGGGGCCTGGAGGAGGTGCACGCTTTAGCTAGCACGCGACAACCTGTTTGCGTCCTTCCAGTGAGACTCGTGTCGTCGGTAGCTCGACCGTTGTAGTAACTTTATACTTTAGCTGCTAATTAACGGTCATACTCCCGAAACACGACTTTTATTATTCGCACGGACAACTCGCGATGCGTTTCTGTCAACCTGTCAGACTAACGAGGTTACGAGTGTAAAGTGAGGCCGGTTCTAACTGGTCTGCTAGTAAACTTAAGCTAGTTAGCTAAAGGCAGGTATTTAGGGAGTCACAACATGGTTGACGGTAAAACACCAAATAACGTTACCCCATCAACACGTGTTATAATACAACGAAGTGGAGAACACCTTCACATCTCGCTTCATGACACATCGCGCTACATGTGTAGTTTAATGCATTTACGGTTCACACATAGCGACCACAAAAAAGTGATTTGTGTTTAATGTTAGCCGATGCAGCACCGTGTGGCTAACGGTGAATAGCTATCGAGGAGTTCTGTGATAAAGGTCATGGCAATACGCTGCGGAGACGGAAACCTTGAGATGGGAACGGTGTGGGGGTGATTTTGGTAATCGATTAACAACAAACGCTGCTTATCTAGGATTGGCTTTTGTTTCGTGTCGTATGTAAAGATTCTGAACATCGTCACATATGGTTGTGTGGGCACCACGTGCTCTTTCTTCCCGGAGCAACGCTACTTTGCTTCACTGCAAAACCTCCAGCGCTGCTGACTTGTAATATAAACTCTGTGTATATGAGACTGGTGAGAATTAACTGTTGTGAGAGGGTCGCATAATGGTTTTGCATAGATGACTGAAGCGCACTCGCGGTTCAGCGGTGGGTGACAGGTCTACCTGCCCGGTTCAAGTTACGCTGGAGCTCAGAGAGGTGTGGTAACACGTGACCGCTCGAGAGGCGGAGTCGGAGGGATAAGGAAGCCAATGAAGCTATCAGATGTGTGTGAAGGAGAAGAGCTGCGGGCTCTCAAACTGGTTTACGAGGTCTCTGATCAACTGTAGTATTGGCTATGGAGGAAGGGAGTCTGTTCTGAATGTTTTTGTGTATATATTGTTTTAAAGGTAACCTTACCTGAGGTCATGAAAAGCATGCACATATGCGAGGATTCAAAGGGGAGTCGGGGCTCAACGCTGTGATTGCCAGGCTGGGAACCAGGCATAATCTTTTGTTTGCCCAAACTGAAAATATGGTTGCCATTTTGCACATTCTTTTGTGATGTTGACAGGATAATTGAACGTTTCACCCAACAGTCAAACAACTTAATTTGCTTCACCATTGTCTCTAAAAACAGAAGCCGCGCACACACACACACACGAGTAAAAGCACCAATGCCTATGCAGTGTTGTCTAGCTCTGGCTGTAACAGCAATATCTAAATATTACCAATGCAAGAATTATTAATTATGTATTTAGTTTAGGCTGCACATTTTGATGTTTGCTGTCCCTTTTTATATGTTAAGTGCTTGCAATCTCACTTTTTTCAAAATCAAGATTATCAAAACATTGCTTCCTGCTCTAACTGTACTTGTGTGTTTCATGTAGCTTACTGCTGTGTAAGGTGTACTCAACATATTTTCTGTAACTTGGTGTTCTTCTAATCATGCAGGTTACTACAAAGGGAGCGGGTCTGAACCCCAATGCTAAAGTGTGGCAGGAGATCCCTGCCCACCAGAATGACATCCCGGAGGAGACTGAGGACTCTCCTTGTCTACTAACCTGCCCTCCTCCCACTGAGACGACCGACGGTAAGAGCTTAGTGGTGCAACTAAGATAAAGCATGACAGCGTTTGTTTAAAGCATAAGATGCTGTTGTCTAAACATGATCTCTTCTATCTTAATTTACTCAGATGGTCCGTCTTCAGGAGGAAAAGGATGCGATGCTGAGTACCCTGACAGCACTGCTGACTATGCCTCTGTACCCACAGAGGGCGTTGTAAATGGCACGGACCAGCCTGACGTGGGGTATTTAGTCTTTGACCCTCAATGCGAATCAGCCATAGATGCTGATGCTTCTGAAGAGCAACCAATGTCTGAGGAGAGCCTCAGGGAGTCTTTGAAGAAACAGCTCGAGTTCTGCTTTTCTAGGTTAGTAGGTTTTTTTTATATTACACATTGCAACTGTTTCCAGTGTGCATACAGCTGTGAGAACAACATCAGTAATGAATAATTGAATTGCCTTGAGATGTTTTTCATAACTGCAAAGAACTAGCTATTTCCAGTGGTTTATCATTGGTCCAACAGCCATTGATTACATTTAATTCTTCAATCATTTTGACTGATGTTCATTTGTCCAATGTTGTTTTGGGTGTTTGCAGAGAGAACCTATCTAAGGACCTGTACCTGATATCCCAGATGGACAGTGATCAGTTTGTTCCCATCTGGACCATTGCTTGCATGGAGGACATCAAATCCCTTACCACTGATGTGACCCTCATCCTGGATGTACTGCGAGGTACCAGTGCTGCTTTTCTGCCTGCATTTGGGACAAATGGTCGCACATTCACTGACATTTACTTTACAGACTATATCTATATCTATATATCTATATCTATATCTATATATCTATATCTATATATATATATCTATATATATATATATCTCTATATCTCTCTATATATATCTATATATATCTATATATATCTCTATATCTGTATATATCTATCTGTATATATCTATCTGTATATATCTATCTGTATATATCTATCTGTATATATCTATCTGTATATATCTATCTGTATATATCTATATCTCTATATATATCTATATCTCTATATATCTCTATATATATCTATATCTCTATATATATCTATATCTCTATATATATCTATATCTCTATATCTCTATCTATCTATATATATATCTATCTATCTATATATATATCTCTATCTATCTATCTATATATCTCTATATATATCTATCTATCTATATATCTCTATATATATCTATCTATCTATATCTCTATATATATCTATCTATCTATATCTCTATATCTATCTATCTATATCTCTATATATATATATCTATCTATATATATCTATATATCTATATATATATATCTATATATCTATATATCTATATATATATATCTCTATCTATATATCTATATATATATATCTATCTATATATATATCTATCTATATATATATATCTATCTATATCTATATATATATATCTATCTATATATATCTATCTATATATATCTATATCTATATATATCTATCTATCTATATATATCTATATCTATCTATCTATCTATATATATCTATATCTATCTATCTATCTATATATATCTATCTATATATATCTATCTATATATATCTATCTATATATATATATATCTATCTATATATATATCTATCTATATATATATCTATCTATATATATATCTATATATATCTCTATATCTATATATATCTCTATATCTATCTATATATCTATATATATATATAAGAAAAGAAAAGATGATTGAAGAAATAGATTTTTTTGTAATTATTTTCGCATATAGTGTTAAATAGGTGCACAATAGGATCTGGGGTGTGATCTAAAAGGGCTTTTTTTTTTTCTCCATCTCGACTTCAACTAAGAGTAAAATACACTGAACTACATTTCAAACTGCAAAAGCTAAACACATAATATGCAAGGCTATTGTTTAGAGCAGTCTCCTAGTAAATCACAACAAAGGAGATGGTGTAAGGATCCTCCAGAATCACCAGTAACTATTAAATGCATTGTGTCACTGCTAAGATCCCCACAACATGTTGACGCCACAGTGAGTTTCTGTTGATGGGTGGTGGTTTTCTTTGTCATGTCTGCAGCTTCTCTGCATGTTCTTTCCTGTGATGATTACCACTTCTGCAAACTGTTTTCCCAAGGTGAAAATCCTAAAGGGTGTTTGCAACTTACAACTCAATAATTGTTTTACATTTATGCTTTTTATCATAGTTCTGCTAAACGGGGTTGTGTTGATAAGGACGCTGAGAGAACTTGTCAGAATGTGTTTGTAGTTGACATGACGTAAACCAAATAAAAAATAAAGATGCTGTAGATACAAGCACGCAAATCCTCTAACGGCACACTGTTTAAGTGTCTTAGGGTTCATCGAGTAACTTCCAGATGGTGAAAACACTTGTATTGAGGTTGTGTCTTTGTTACAGATTCGCCGATGGTGCAAGTTGATGAAGCTGGAGAGAAGGTTCGGCCAAACCACAGTCGCTGCATCATCATTCTGAGAGAGGTGCCAGAGACGACACCAATTGAGGTAAAGAGGGTTCTACACTGCACGTTAAGAACAGTCCTCCACATCACCCAACTATCCCACATAGCTGCTGACAAGAATTCAGTTAAAGACACCTGCCTCACTGCACTTTGACTTTGTTGTAGCTCATTGACAAGTTATAATCACAGAGGCTGCAGGGAGATGTTGTGAGTTTAGTGTTGTTGGGTGAAGTGTGTAACATGTGCCTTGCATCTCTTTCACAGGAAGTGGAGGCTCTTTTTAAGAGTGAAAACTGTCCAAAAGTGTTAAGTGCTGAGTTTGCACACAACAGCAACTGGTACATAACATTTCAGTCTGATATGGATGCACAGCAGGTACGTCTCCACATTAATGAACATGGGGCTTATTTCTGGCTTAAATTTTTGGTTGAATGTTATTTTATTTGAATTAGTATGCCATAAGTGTCTGTTAACAAATATAACTGCTCATTAGAAGTAGGCTGTGTTTTGCTCTACTTCCATTTGTCTTTGAAACCAAAGGTGACTCCATGGTGCGGGCTCAATATTTGAATTAGATAATTCTTGATTACAGGAGTCTGTTCACTTTGTAAGATGCGAAACTTTACGGGTAGATGCTTTCAAGAAATTGTACGATTTATTACGGCAACTTCGTCTTGTTTTAACAAGTTTACAGTTCTGAGCACTGAACATCACACTAGTGCTCTGGGAGTGAGGGGGAGGAAAGCTTGTATTTCTTAGAATCAAAAGGAAGCGACACAGATTTTACAATATTGTGAATATTTGGTTTGCTGTTTTGTCCGTAGGCCTACAGATACCTGAGAGAGGAGGTGAAAACCTTCCAGGGAAAACCAATCATGGTGAGTTCTGTGGCTGAAATACATAACCAATAATTTACTTTATTTAGTTTTTATTTCAGGCTGGATCACTTCTTCTTATTTGTTCTATTTTAGACGGTAGTATGAGACCCAGCAAGCCTTGTCACACGAGTAGTTGTTATCAGTGGTCACGTCACTACCCTTTGGCTAAGCCGTGGCCTCAGGAGTGACCTTGGGATATGTGTGCACACAGACTTGATAAGCAAGGAAGTGTTGCACACTGATATCTCCAGACACTTTGATACCCCTCCTTATAACAATGTGGCATTTCAGGTATCTAATGCATCCTTTTTCAGCTGGACTTTGAGTTGACCTTGTTTTATAAAACACACGAGGCTGTGACGTTAACGGTCCTGTCTAAACCCCAGTGATGATCAGTATCGCGCTTGGAAGGACCCATATGCACTGTGGCTGGCTGGGAGGAACTTATCATCTGTGGCTCTTTACCAATCTGCTGTTTCTCTGCTTCTACACACTACCTCTACTCATCCTCTTTAACTCCCCCCTCACTTCCTCTCCCTCCCCCCTTCTTTCCCCTAGTCAGTACAGTGCTGTATGGCCTAATGACCGTGAGATTATGAGATCTGAGGGGACTAAGTGACGATGGACAGATCTACAATGCTACTCGTCACAGTCCCATCTTCACTCTGAGCAAGCACAGCTAATTGTCTTCTTTCTTCCTCTCTCCCTCCCCACAGGCCCGCATTAAGGCCATTAACACGTTCTTTGGTAAGAACAGCTTCCGCAGTGTGGACTCGAGTGTGTACACTCAGCATGCCCAGCCACAGGCTCAATATAGCTCCCCAGTCTACATGCAGCAGGCATACAGCCCTCAGCAGCAGTACCCTGTGTACCCCGTGGTGTCTTCCTCCTGGAACCCTGCCGTCGTCCCTTACTTTGAAACACCACTGGTGAATGTTATCTTGACTTTTTTTTTTTGTTTGTTTTTTTACATATGTATTGTTCAGAGCATCAGAGACAATTTTACAACGCTTATGGTCAAATTTGTATTTACCACTACCAGGCACCTTTTCCGCATAGCGGTTTCATGAATGGTTACAGCAGTCCTGAGAGCTACGAAGCAAACGCAAGCATCAACACCAATCGGCCCATGAGCAGGAACCGGTAGGTGCAAGTCGCGATGACATAACTCTTAATGAAACATTTGAGGACACGTGTGAAGGATATTAAGTATTGCCTAAAGTATCAAATAATGCTTATTCATGGTAGTAAGAAATGTGTTTCTTTTTAATATTTGTGTCTGCCCAGAAACCATGTTAAGGGTCACCCAAGGCCTGGAGACGTGCCTTCCTCTTCTCTGGTTTCGGGGCCCCTGATGGATGGCCTGTCTGCTCCCTCGAGTCCACGGCCCCTCCAGACATCAGGGATGGCAACTGGCACCACTTCGGCAACAGAGTTTCTCCCACAGGCCACCGTACCCAGTGGGTATCTGAGCGGGGCTGCAAGGGGCAGGTGAGAGAATATCATCCTGCTTATTAACACTGTGGAGATGACGATTTACAACCAAAATGTAACCGACTAATACGCAACAAGGCGTGTGTTTTGTGTTGTGAATAATCTTCAGTTTGTGTACCTTGTCAGTTTGCTTTCTGTTCACCTCTCAAAAGTTATATTGTCTAAATTTGAAATTGTTAGCACAGACACAGCTAAGAAATCAAACATATTTTTGCCTTTCACGATCCGTTCCAGGAAAATGTTACCTATTGCGTTCTTTGTTGTTTTATTTACGTATGAAAAACCTTCTAATGTGAAATGATCTGTCTTCATTGTAGGAGAGGAAGCTACAGAGGCATGAGGAGGAGAAGAGAAGAGGAATATACGGTCAGCATATTTCCTCTGTCATCCTGGTGTTATCTTATCAAAAAGTTGTCTGTTATTATGGTTTTCTTGGGCAAGCTTCAGTGTTATTTGACTTAAACTGTGCTTAACATTACAGAGGCCTGTTCCTCTAATGGAGGCCAAGGTAGCTCCTCCACCAAAGTTTGACCTGGCAGCTTCCAATTTCCCTCCTCTGCCGGGATCTGTGGTCAGTATGCTGGGAGAACCGATGCCAGAGATGCGCCTTTCTGATGTTGTGCGTGGCCTGAAGGTGACTAACAAGGTAAATATCTTGTCCTCTTTGATACCTTTTTATTCTGGAGACTCGTGTAAGCAGCATTTAAGTCCCAGTTGTTTGAATGCACATCATTTTCAATTCTTGATTATTTCAGCCTGTAAACCAAGAGGTCAACGGGACCCGACAAACAAACGTCTCTGAAGATGCTGTAAGCAAACCAAGTGCTGTGACCCCGGTTGCTAAACCTGCTCCTGTGACACCACTCACAGTGGCACCACCACCACCACCACCAGTCTTAAGGTAAAGTTTTAATCAAGTTAATCAAATATCTGTGAATAGAAAGGGCATGAACATAGGTCATTTTCTATCTTTTACTTTTGTTTTAGTGTTTCTCCTGCGGTAAAGGAAGAGGATAAAGCTGAACCTTCGATTCCAAAAGAAACAATCTCCACGTTCTCGCAGGCTGCCTCCCCAACAGCCTCTAAACCTGCTGCCTCCCCAACAGCCTCTAAACCTGCTCCCTCCGCCTGCAGCCAGTCTGTTTCTACTGAAGCACCTTCCTCATCCCCCCCATCTCCAACATCGGAGCTGGTAAGGCCTGCCTTCTTACAGCAACATCAGCTGATAGCTCCCTGTTGGGTCATTCTGTAGAAGAAGCTGTTATGAGTTGTAGCCAGGTGTTCATATGTCAGTCTGTGGACAGATTGTGTCACTATGATAACGTCACAACACTTTAAGATGTCAGGAAACTGTACATGTGTGTAGTTGAGGTCATGATGTAGGCAGAGTTTAAAGATGGCTTTGGTCCGAGCAAGAGCGCTGGAAGTGGGGAAGGAGCTGTTGTTGGTGTGCTTCCATCTCAAGATGGTCTCGAGTGTTTTGTAGCAAATGACATGCAGCCACAAAAATATTAATATAAAACTTTGTCCTTTTTGTGCAAGATGGCAGCTGTAGCTGGGATTCACAGCAGTTTCAATGGATTCAATGAAATGTTAGAGTAGTAAGTCAAATGTATAGCAGCGCAAACTGCCACTGTAGCATAACACACTGATCTCAATGGTGATGTTGTGTTGAAGATGGATTATTGTATATTTTGGACAATATGGTCTTCAAGTGTTTTTTGTGTTTTATTACATGTGGGGAATTTATTTTACGTCTTGATTTTTTATTTCCTCCCATTCTTCTCTTACCAGGGGGCCAGAAAACTAAGCTATGCAGAGGTGTGCCAGCGGCTGGCCAAGGAGCCGGCCCAGCCGTCCCCCCCCTCCCCTCCGGCCTCCGCCGCTAGCCAGCCCCTGCAGGAGCTAAAGGTCAACAGGGGGGAGGAGCCTCGGCCCAACGGCAGGCGCACCGCAGAGAAACCCGGAGACAGCCGCCCGCCCCGTCAACCATTACGCTTCTTCAGAGGGGCGAATGGCCAAGTCCGACCCGGAGGACTGAAGACTCGGGAGCATCCGAGAGGCCTGAATACCGGCAAACCGTTCTCCCCACACCGGGGAGCCAGACGCAGCGGCAAAGAACAGAACATTCCCCCTGGATCTCCAAAATAACTAAAGAACAAGGAACCTACAAAACATGAACTAAAACAATATTTATGTAAATATATAATATATGTAAATAGACAGATGAATATATTTCATTTGACAGACTTTTTGCAAGAATCTTAATATTGTTGCAGGCCTGAAGTTATTTTTTAGGAAGATGCATATCGTCTGCTGACAGAATTGATAAAACATACTTTGCTTAAAGTAATATCACCACGACGTTCCCAAAAGATGGCTCCATGAACGAGCTACATCTGTAATGTGTGCGTTTGATATGGTGAGAGAGAGAAAGAGGGATGTTTTTACTTTTAAATATAAGGTAGACAAAACCCCGTCAACATCCAAAATGATGAATGAGGCACATTTTGTTTGTTTGAGTGGTTATTGTTGGCATGTGATTCATCTAGAGTGAAATCAAGGATGTCTGTTATTATGTAAGATACGGAAGGTGTTGAATCCATGGCGGAACAATGGAAACAGTGGAGTGTTTGATTAACAACAGAAGCTTTGAACTAGGAGTGGCTATATTTCAAGGCCGAACATTATGTAGAAACTGTCTACAAGAGATCCGGAGGAATACGAAATATAATTCAGAACATTGTGTAATGATTATAATCCTTCAGTGTTTTTGCAGTAGTCCTCTTTGTGATGCAGATATTAGATTGATAACTAGTAACGTTTGAAATAAGCCCTGCATACTTACTGGAGTAGATCGGCTTTTTTTTTTTTTTTCCCTACAGGATTGTATCAGTGATTTAACTCCTGTGCTCATCTGTATATCTTGTAAAAAAATATATAGCATGAAAACTCATGAGAATAGTAGTTGTCAGCCAAATAACCTGCTGTTGCTGAGGGTTATCGGGCTGGAGCAGGAGCAGAAACACTGTCTCCACGTTGTGTCAGATGTCACTGCTGGTGTCTGTGTGTGCGTCTTACAGAGCAGGATTACAGGGTTTGACGGCTAATTTTGGTTCCAGACCCAGCTTCTGGTGTGGATTATTCCGTATTTTCAGTTTCAGGAAATGTTTCTAGAGAGTAAGCTGCCTTTGCTTAGTGACTAGCATGTGAACTGCTAAAACATATTGGATGATCTGAGGGACCTCAGGAGGAGAAATTCGATTTTATTCAGAAAAATAGAAATTTGTGGCCTCTTCTTGATTAACGTAGCTGTTTGGTTGATGGTTGATGTCATGGCCAGTGTCTAAACTTGAGTCGGTGACATTGATTTGGGCATCATCTCTTGATTGGATACATAATAAGCTTCAGACGACTGTAGTCCTTTTTGGCTTAAAACCACTTTTGAGCTTGATCTCGTGAATGTCCATATGTAGCTGTAGCTTTCCTTGAGCGTGTGTATATACAGATTTATATTTGATCTTGGTTAATGTTCTCGTTTTTCCTGCTGGAGACAAGTTTCATTTTCTATAATTGTGTTTTTCTTCTCGTGGTATTCAATGTTTGTGTAATATTAGTAAATAAGTGTGTAGACTGATCTGAGAAAAGATGCTTGGGTTATTGACAACTGAATCAGCCACTCGTGGCTCGACAGTGAGCAGAACAAGACTGGACTTTTAGTGGCGGGAGTTGAAACGATCTATCCTTAAATCTCCAGGCTTTTAATCGTAAGAGAAGTTAGAAATGGAAAGAAGTTTCACAGAAAGGCTCAACTTGAGCTTATATGCGTTTCATTTGAGTGTTTTTGATTTCATCAGATTAGTCTGTTGTTGCAAATGAGAATTAACAAAAGATGAGTGAAGCGAAAGAATTGTAGGTTTTCAGGATTAGGGGGGTAAAACATTTTATCTTAGATAAATGTCTTCTGCTTGTAGGGACTCGACTACAGGGTTATGTGTCTTGTAATCAGTAGTTGTCTCCCTGTGTATACTGTATTTTGTTTGTGTAAGAGAGATTGCATCGGCTTCAGACTGCATGGAACTATTATCTCAAACCAAACCTCCGGTGCCTTAACTCATTTCAGTAAAAAGAGTGCAAGAATTGTGAGCACATCAATTTGTCACACTAAACATGGCCGGTTGATTGGTTGTCAAAATCCAACGTTATCAGTCTTTGACACTCTGAGACACTGGATCCTACTCAATGCAGATCTCAATTCATTGTAGGTGCAGGGCTGGTGGGAGTGGAGCTTAATGCGTGTTGCGCATGCTTGTTTGTCCGTTCATTTTCTTAGCTTGTCAATGCAATGTCAGTCTTGTATCAGAATCCTGCGTTTAACTCACAATCAAACATGAGATTGCAGTTTTCAGCCAAATACACTGGTTTTATTAAGTTATGTGATTGCTGAACCTGAGGTATAAGAATAAAAAAATATTTTTAAACGGCTGTCTTGTACTTTGTGTGTGTGCGCGTGTGTTATTGTTATTGTACATGTTATTGCAGCTGATCCAATTGCAGCTTCACATACAGCAGATGTGAATAAGGTAAAATCTCATGTCCAGTGACTTTTCTTTTATTTAAACCTGGAATTTGGTCAATCAAGCAAAACGGACAGAAGGACAGCGACATACATGAGAAATACCAAAGTCCTGCCACACTAGAACGGATTTGTTAACCACCCGGAAGTCAACATTATGTAACCGTTGTATGCACATTTGGCTTGCTCAGGAGATTACGCGTGTCAGCAACATACCGGAGAGGAATACCATTGTATTGATATGTTAACGGAGGACGTGTGAAGATTCAGTAAAGTTTACCGGCATCACGTTCACGTCCCCCTCCGACGTCAAACCTTGTTGCGTAATGTTAAGACCGTATTCCAGCTCTCGCGGTGTTGCTAATGGAAGTGTCAGTGTCAACAACGGCCAGCCATCGGTACAGCAGCACTACCCGGAGCAGGGAGGGGGGAGTCCAGAGGCTATCACGTCGGGTGAGTTCACTCACATTTAGGAGCATCTAACGTAAAAAATGTGATGTTTTGGGAAGTAAATCCAGTCAATGTCTATGAAATGTGATGTTTTAATGCGATCGTATGTTAGCTTTCTTTAGCATTAGCGTGCTAACGTTTAGCTAACCCCACTAACTTGGCGGTCCACACTAAAGGTAACGCTAAGCTAAGCGAAGCTTCGATTAGCAGTTAGCATTAGCTTAGCTAGCGGTGTTGTGACTGGTAGCTGCGCTACAATGTTAGCTTTGTGAGGCGTATCCGGTTGTCCTTGTTATCTGTTGTTAGTTTTCATAATGTTAGCTTCCAGGTCCGGTGTAATGACACGGCTGTCAGGTTTCGGAAACACAACATGTTGGTGTGGTTAGATATTAGGTTATGCTAGTTTTAAGGCCCATCTCTGATGAAATCAGAGATAGCCTAATAATTGACACATTGGTTTAACCTGTCCACAGTAACGAGGAACATAGCCGAACGACCTCGAGTGATAGCCAGCTAGGTTACATGGTAGCTCGACTCTGCTGCCTCATCGTTCCCGTCAAACGCTAGTCTCCGATTGACCGAAGCAAATGTTCCACACAAGCCAACAGACTTGGCCTGTTTACCTCCTAACCAGTTGTCACCAGGAGGTTTTTTCAAACGTTACATTATTGGTGACAGGTGCGCACATGCAATTAATGGCGCTAAACTGATTGTATTTATTATTAGTAGGTGCATGGTAGTTATAGTACCATTGGCTGATGCTGGAGGTTGATACATTGTCAAGGTAAAACACATGCTGTCATACACAAATAAACAGTGATGTTTGAGTATTTATGGTCAGCCAGTTGCTTCTGGGTTATGATCGTCCATGGTCTCAAGCCAGTATTAAATACATAAATAAATAAATATTAAATAAACAGTTACACTATTAGAAGCATTCAGCCAATACCAGTAATATATTGTGTCTAAGGTACTTGAGAATCAGCCGTTTGCTTGCCTCTAATACAGCCGTTAACAAATTGCTGTTTTTTTTTGCTCTATTTTGCAGAACATTTGTCTGAGATGGGGGATGATCGACCCTTTGTATGCACTGCCCCTGGATGTGGGCAGGTATGATTGGAGAATGCTTTAATTCATATGCACATCTCTATAACACCCTCTTTCACTCTCTTTACATTTGACACCTCTGATCATCCAGCCCAGCAATCTGAAACAAATCTTCACCTCTTTCTTATTATTACATGAGCTCACTGCAATTTAGCTTGTTTTGATCTTGTTTTTTTTTTTTTTTTTTTTTTTTTACTATGTCTCTTGTTTGCACTATCCACTAGGCTGCTGTAATCCTGTAAACTAATAAAGGATTGTCTTATCTTATCTTAAAGGTGGATTCTGCAATTCTAATCCAATACACTTTTTGTCAAATTCAGTGTATATCCATGGTCTGCTAGCTGTCTGTTCTGTGTGTGTGGGCGTGCTGGAAAAAAAAAAATCCTGTGTTCATACACAGCCTACTGTAAATGGGGAAACAAACGAAGTGTCTCGGACCGAACCACACAACACTATTCCAGAGAGTACAGGAGACAGGCCATGGATGTATAAAGAGAAAGGCAGTGGGAGCAAGAGGGATGGTAAATCTGGCACATGCTAACATTCTGAAGCAGCACTGTCAGGAGAGGTGTATTTGTTTTGGTGTTGATTTCAAATATCACATATTTGATTTTCAAATACCAGCAATCTTTCTCCAGAATCACAGACTCCACCTTGAAGGTACTGTACAAATGCCAAAAAGAGTAGATAATTATCAAGCCCTACCTCATAGTGGACCATCTGTGTTATTGTTTATCTCACATCTATAATTGCTTTTTATTTTAATTCTTTGTAATTTGCTGGCAGTGCAGTAGACGCACTGATGCTACACCTTATATTCTTTCTTATATGCTGTGTTATGTTTTGCAGCGATTCACAAATGAAGACCACCTGTCGGTCCACAAGCACAAGCATGAAATGACGTTAAAATTTGGTCCTGCCAGAACGGACTCTGTTATCATTGCAGGTAATGGCATTACCATTTACATTAGTATCTGTTAAATGAAGCTGAGCTAAAGATGTATCAAATTGTCAATGCTCTGAACACCTGTATTGATATACTACTGGGATGTCTGTTGGGAAAGAGATACTTCTGTCCCGTTACCCTCTCGACTAACATACTACATGTTTTGGGTTTTGTTGGGTGTTTTTGCAGACCAGACACCCACACCCACACGTTTCCTGAAGAACTGTGAAGAGGTTGGGTTATTCAATGAGCTCGCCGGCTCCTTTGAACATGAGTTTACCAAAGCACACGAGGACGACCAGAGGACGAAACACCCGGTGAGTAAAGGGATGAATGAACACATTGAATAAATGGCACACTGCTGGTTTCTCAGGTTATTAGATAAAAGTGATATCACCATTTTAAAAGGTATGTTCATCTTCTGCTCTCTGCTCAGGCTGCACCTTTACAAACACCGTCTGAAGTCAAAGTTGAAGATGAGGGTCCTTTGCAAGTGGATTCTTCCTCTCCCGGAAGTCCAGATTCCTCTTCCAGCATGTCAGACAACAGCAGAGACTCGAGGGTGAGAGGATCCAAACAGTCACACAATAACTAGCTAACTGCTCCATGCAGCAACAGACCAGCAATTTTGTCAGTTGAGTATGTTGACTTTGAAGAGAGCAATATAAAGGCCTTTGTTCCCTGACAGAAAGGGCTATCTGATGGCAAGGTAGATCGGGGAAAATATAATAAAATGAATGTACATTTAAACTGTTTTCAATGTTCATTCAGCTACTGCTAGCATTCACGTCATTCATAAACTTTTTGATAACGACTGATTGGGCACTTCTATTCGGAAGAGTCTGGAAAAGAGCGCAGACGGATTCGACCTTAAATACTTTCCGCTTGAACATCAATGATTGGTTTCCTGTTCATGCAGACAAAACACATTTATGAATGGAGAATATATTTTATTATCATTGTTTGATTTGTCAACAGGAGATTCACACGCAGCCTGTGGTAAGCTCTGCCCCTACTCCAACCATTGTGCGCCCAGGTTCTCTTCACCTGAGCAATGAAGCACTTCACCCAACTCTGCCATCGCCAACATCTGTCATCACGCAAACGCCGCCCTCCAACAGACAGCTCAGGTAAACGAGAGTGTGCTCCTGTTGTTTGCATTTCTTGAGGTCTGGGGCTGTTTTTCATATTCTGGGAAAATGTCCGTCTTTTGGAGTCTGTCAATATTAACTTGGTGCGCAAATGTAGCTCTGAATAAGTTCAGTCTTCTGTAAGAATTATTATTGTCTTATGTCGAATAGGGCTGAAACAATTTCTCGAGAAAGACAAATAACAATTGCTTGAAATTTAAATTCCTTGCATCAAGACAATGTTTGCGGTGCTGTTAATCAACAGTGCAAATATTTTTTTCTTTTAAATCGGTGTTAATTTATCAACAAAACAACTCCATGTTGAAATCGGCAGGAGGAGAGCTAGTAACGTGACTATGCAGACGGTGGGTAGCACGGTCTTGCTCGGCTAAATGACAACTTATCGGCTAATGTTGATGCCGGTTGCACCGAGTTACGGTATGATGCGTTAGTTCTCTATTTGGTAAAAAATGAATGGTGTTTAAAGGTAAATTATCACATTATCATGATGAAAACGAGAAACTTGCGCTGGCTTTAGCACCTCAATACAATCTAATATTTTGTGAGCTTACATGTTGTGTTACATGTATACTCACTGTATTGGCCGTTGGTTGTTTTTAATACATTTTCAGGTTGTTTTTTTATTCTGTTTTTGCATTATGTTTTCGAGTTGTTCATACGTCTGTCCATCCAACTGTCTGTCCCATTCTTGTGAACATCATATCTCAGGATCGCTTGGAGGGAATTTCTTTAAATTTGGCACAAACGTCCACTTAGACTCAAGCATGAACTGATCCGAATTTGGTGGTTAAAGGTCAAACACGTTTTTGTCCAAAACATTGATATGCTACTTATGAAAATTTCACACACATTTCTAATTGGATAACATGATGCCAGGCAGTTATTCTAGTTTTGACATGTTTTGATTTTCTCTTTCTCAATATTGATTTTCTGTTTGAAGTCTTATTTATTTATTTATTTATTTCTCCACCGTCTTCTGCTTCCTGATCTAACAACGCAGGTGAAGTAGGTGTGTGTGGACGCTAACAGTCCTCTACAGCTCCATATTGCTGTGATTCTACAGATACTCCCTAAATTATGTCTACTTTTAAGAGATCAAAGCAAATCCTTCTGAAGACGATACCTCGCCCACATATTCTCCAACCGCCGTTTCATTGGGACTTGAGAGGCTAGGTACAGTTAACACTTAGAGAGAGTGTCGGCTGGCAAAATAAAATATTTTTTCAACCTGGTTCTCAATCTGTATGTTGTCAACGGGCACAGAATGGAGGATCAGCCATTTACAAGTATCTGATTTTTGTCAACAGCTCCCCAACAAGCGCTTATCCACTGGTGAGGCTTCCTAATGGGCAGACCGTCCCCCTCCTGCCCAGTCCTGTGCAGATGACCTCAGTTATATCTGTAAGTCATTTTCAAAACATGAAAAAAAACTTTTGTTATTTTTCTTTGAACTTACCATATTCCATCTGTTTCTCTCTCTCTCGTGTGTTTGTTGTAATGTGGAGCTTGCGAGGCCAGCGAACTCGGTGCCCAACATCCCTGGGATTCCAGGACCTCCAGTGGGCGGAGCCAGCAGTGGGTCGTCCTCCCCGTCTGGGTACAGTCTGCACTCTGAGACCAAGATGGTAAGGTGATCAGTCAAACTGGCATCATTTTGAGGGTTAGGGTTTATTTCTATAAAGATTTATTTATGCATTTGTAAAATAGCTTCTATAGTCAAAGTGTGCTGTATAATGTGATGAAACTTGTGTCACTGTTTTAACAGTTCTTTTGGTGACCTTGAAGGTAAATTACTTAGACAGAGTGTTGTTGTTTGTGTGTCTTTGTAGCAGCTAAAAGCAGCTCTATCTCATCAGGGCCCAGGAGCACAAGATGGAGCCGGTGGGGGGTCCGGATCCATCCCTGCTGTGCCCCAGCGACCCGAACAGAGCCAACAACCCACTCAAAACTCTGATGCACCATCACCTGCGCAACCCCAGGTAATACACACTATGCTAGCACTTGACTTCTCATTAGCAAAGTACAAGTACCTCTGCAGGGTAATTCATAACAGGAATACCTGTATCTGGTTACTTTCATCTCTGACAGAAGTCAAATATAAACTCTGAACTCAAAGTACTTTTACCTCCAAACTGTACTCAGCTAAAGACAGTACATTTAGTTACTGCAAACTTGTTTTGTTGTCTCTTTAAATTGCAGTTTACGTTTCATGTTCCTCAGAACAGAAACTCTGTCTTGCTGTGTGTTTAGCTCCGTTAGCTCTATTAAGCTAGTGAAGTGAAGTGGATGATCGTGTTGTTACTACAAAATCTTTACTTGACACAGTGACAGTGGATTGTTGATTATGTCAACCACTTGAGGAGACCGGACAGGCAGTTGAATCCATGCGAAGCCTGATTCAGATAACTAGATAGTGTAACTGGTAGACTGCTTGTAGTTCAATGCTCTTCATCCCCAGACAAACATCATCTCAACAATTGCTCCAGTGCAGTGGCGCTTCCTGAAACAGTGGTCAGTGTTGCCGGCTAGTTAGTTTCACTTTCACCCCAATATAGCCTGTAAGTGTTGAATTAAATAACCGTCAATCGAAGCTCAGCTTTGGGAAAGAAAGAGACACAGTACAAGATGAGACGGAGAGAACCAAATGGAGGACATGCATGCAACCTAAAAGTATTCCTCTTTCCCAAGGTGTCCCCCGCTCAGCCAACAGGAGGCCGGCGGCGGCGAGCTTCGGAGATGGACCCTGACGAGAGGAGGGAGCGTTTCCTGGAGAGAAACCGGGCGGCCGCCTCTCGCTGCAGGCAAAAACGAAAGCTGTGGGTTAACTCTTTGGAGAAGAAGGCGGATGATCTTGTCAACATGAATGTGTCCCTGAGTGTGAGTGTTCCATTTCCCCCTCACTCCTGGGTTGTAACGGTAATTTAATAATTCACACATATTGGTCATGCTGGGATATGATTTGGGTTCTGTATGCTTTGTGTTGCCATCAGGGTGAAGTAAGCCTACTGAGGAACGAGGTGGCTCAGCTGAAGCAGCTCCTCCTGGCCCACAAAGACTGCCCGGTCACTGTTATGCAGAAGAAGGCAGCTTTCTTAGGTAACCATTGAGCGGAAATGCCTCCGATACGGCATAAAAACGCTGGATCAGGTATCTGCGAGTACGCGAGACTATGCACCGATATCACAACGTTATATCAGCTCATTTATGCTGCACAGGAACAACAACACGTGTCACTGGCTAAACAAGTCTTAACAGAGATGAGAAAGAAGTGAGATGGCTCACTCTGTAGCTACTTCCATCATTAACTCCGGAAAAAACTTCTCTCTGAAATCGACGATGGGAGTAGCTAACGAGTGAGCCATCTCGCTTCTTCCTCATCTCTGTTGAGAGTTGCACGTGCACAGTACTAATCAGGCAGGTGATAGGGGATAATGTAATGTTAGCCAGAGCTAGCAAAATGTCAGCGATTTGGCAATATTTTACACTGGAAAATAACTAGATAATAAGAGAAAGTTCTACGGCATTCACTCTGTTTGTATTTGCTCATGTCTTACAAAGGTTTTAACCTGGTCATACAACATTGGAAGCAATGTACACACACACACACACACACACACACACACACACACACACGCGTGCGTGTACAACTTTTAACACTGTTATGGGATCAGTACTCGGTATTAGCAGATACACAAATCCAGATATCGGAATCGGTAGCAGAAAGGGAAAAAAGGTATTCCAACATCTCTACTGACCAACGAGCCTGCTGCACTGTATCACTTCTTCTGTCAGAACCCATCTATCATCTCATCCATCTAATGTATTCTCTTTACTCGCTCACCTCTCTTAAGGGTGAATGTTTCTTTCTCCGTCTCTAGCTGCAGGAGGAGAGGAAACCTCCAGAGATACTTCCAGTGAACCCATAGGCTCCCCGGCGGCCGTTATACAGCACGGGCCGTCACCGCCCGCCTCGGCCTGCAGTCCGGGGGCCACCATTAACGGGCTGAGCGTCCGCGCCGCAGAGGCGGTGGCCATGTCGGTTTTGGCAGGCATGGGATCGGGCCAGCCAGGAGGGGTTGTAATGGCGACGCAGTCACAGTCAGCCCCCAGATGATGTGCTGACGCAGGTAGCCAGTATGAACTCAAGTGGCCTTTTGAAAGGCCGGACCGGTGCGAAGCGTTTTGAAAAGAGGGACCCGCCCTCAAACCCCACCCCAGACTCGGATGCTGTCATCCCCTCACAGCCAGTGGTAGTCACACAAAGACACGGCGCCGTGCCTCCGTCTACGCTCCGGTCCCAGCTGTTCAGAGACGCTTCGCCACTTTTTGTCTGTAAATATGAAAACACGTCGGACACTCGCTCTGCAGGGTTTGGGGTCATTTCTTGTTCAGTCGTGCCATTTGGAAAAAAAAAGTTTTAGATTGGGATGAAAATTATGACTTTTAATGTCAAGTTCATCGGTTTATTTTCATTTCACTTGCAACGTCAGTCCCACACGCTGGCTGTGATGAGGTCGTTTGCTTTCCAGGCTGACGATTGTACTTGTATTTTTCATTTGTATGAAAAAGATTTTTTTTATGCCTGATTCTGGTCGTCGACATAATGTTTGCAGAAGCAGTGAAAGTACGGTGAGAGATTGGCTGGCTGATTTCAGTAAATGGCAGCCTGGAAAGTTTTTCTTATGTTTACTTTTCAACCTGTCCTTTTAGTTTTCTGTGTGTGTTTCACTTTTGAGTTGATTCTACTGAAATACACACGACGGTTTTGTCAAACCAAATCATCGATGTGTACACAATTTTCCCCCGTGAGTGTGTGCCTGACTTTTTAACCACCAATTTTAACCCATTTGGAATGGATGTCATTACATTAGTCGTGTATGTATCGAACCCTATTGACTGCATGGATTACTCGAGGCTGAAGGATACCACTGTTTGTTTGTGCTTCGTCATACTGTCACTGTTTATAGATCTGCTTTTCTTCTGTTTTAAAACATGAAATTACTGATGCAAAAATGTTCCTTGTTTTTTAAGGATTCCATCCTCAGTCCTAATGTGACACTCTTGAAATGGTTAGCTTTAGAAGGCCTTCAAATGATAATCAGAAACATTAGATTTTAAATCACTTACCCCGGCATTTCAGTTGAGGAAATAGTTGTGCAATATATTTTTCTATTGATTATCAATGTTCTTGCGTTTATTTGTCATGTGACGCCCAGCCGTCTATTTCAGTTGAAAGCTAAAGTTATGAGGTGAATGAATGGGATTAGTGCACATCAGTAGAGAAGGTGCTTTCCAACATTTGAAAAGCTGTCTTGTATCATGAAGTATACCCAAATAGTTGTGCAAGGTGCTTCTTTTGAAATTCAAGTTTTGAAATGCAAATTTTATACCGCCGTGTACTTCCAAGACTATCATGGTTTATTTCCCCTCACACTCTGTGTGTATGTTTTTTTTTTTGTTTTTTTTTAATAACGTCATTGTTTCGACAGATGCTTATCTTTCTCTGAGGGCATGTCAGGCTTTTTTTTTTCCATCATGTGATTAGAATGTACCTTTTATTTTTGTTAAAGAGCATAGATGTCTTTTATGTGTTAATGCAGGTTGAAGCACATAATAAAATGTCTCTGATATCTGTATGGAGAGAGTTTGTCATATCCTCAGGCTTCAAGATGGAAAAAAATACTTGTGTATAGTCTCAACTAATGAATAAGTTGTCTCGGGCAAATAATGAAATAAATTAATGAAAAAAAAACCTCATCAGCATGTTTCCACCTATCCCCACTTTGTGCCTCTCACTTATCAGCATTACACTCAAGTCACAGAGCTATGGATCCGTTTAATGGGACCGCAATTCATTTGATCAATTAGACTTGTATCTACACTGTTATGACAAAAGGCGTAATGTGAAAATTGCTCTGTGGAGTGTTTCTTCCATCTCATTGTTTTGGTTTTATGTCAACAACCTAACTGTTCTGATTCATTCTCACCGCTAGCATTGTGTCATTTTTAGGCCATAGACTTTTATAACCATCTGGTCCAAAAAAAATGTTAAGTCTGCTGCACCATAGGCCTCTTTCACAGAAAACAAACATTTTGGCTGGTGTAAATAATAAAATGAATTCCATTTACCTGCTTATTATTTTTAATGCTGGCTCACGGTCACTATTACTGGGACAATTTAACAGAACAGAGCCACCATTAGTGTTATTAGTAACACCTGTGCCTGTCCTGCTGTGAGAGGTTTATTTTGAACATAGGACATATTACATTATTAATATGTATGTTAAAAAATCTAGTATTTTTATCTTTTTTTTGTCCAACTGAATATTGCTCATCCAGATGATGAAAATGACATCCACGACAGAGGTTTGTGGACATTTTTCGGGAAATCGGATGAGCCGTTAGCGGTGTGACTCCGGTGTAAGGGTTATTAATGAGAGGCATAAACTGGGGCTAGCTCCCACCTGAGCGGAGGGTGGCAGGTGAGTCTCATCCGGAGGAACGCAGCTTCTCCTCCCAGCTGTAGAAAGTTAACACAACAGCAGAGGGAGCAGAGAGTCTGCTTTCTCCGGCCCGGGTCACGTGACTGACAGACTCCTCTGGCGAGTTGTTCCCATCTCCCACAGTCATGGCGGTGACGGGGAGTCGCGAAGATGGAGTAAACACCACCACTGCTGCATCCTGATAAGTTGTTCCACATAGTTTCATGCCGGACTGTACCTGCCGTCATCCGAAATATCACGAACGTCCCGCAGGCTGCTTTGCTTCCAACGATGGCCGACCGCGGCGTCGATCTGTCGGCTCTGCCTAAAGAGGTCAGGGACCAGCTGGCGGAGTTGGACCTGGAGCTATCCGAAGGTGAGCTTTTACATACAGCGGCTTTACTAGTTTAAGCTGCCGCAGCAATCCGTGCAAACGGCCGTTTAAGTGTAGATCTTGAGCGTGTTTACGTGCTTCAGCCACAAAACAGTCGTCCCGTGTCAGCTGAGTGAGACTCGGTGCTGCTGCAGTGGATCCGAGCACGACTCCAACAAACGATACAAGCACACTGACCTCCTTTTTTTCAAGCTATCATTTCTCCATCAACTATCCGTGTTGATTTCATTGTACATAGCGTCATTTATTTGCACAGATTGCAACACAATAGGAACAAATGTGTGTTTGTGTTAGTAATATATCATGTTCTAGGCCCCCCCCCCCCCCTTCTGTTCTTGTTTTGATCCACATTATCTGCCTACATACATGTCATACATTGCTTATCCTCACAGCTATATAAGCATATACACTCCTGTCGGGGAAAATGGGTCAAGTTTGTCTTCCCGGAGGCTCTGTGTGTGCGTGTGTGTGTGTGTGTGTGTGTGTGTGTGTGTGTGTGTGTGTGTGTGCAGCCTCAGACTTTGGACACTAAATGATGCTGTGGCCCCTCCAACACGCAGAGCCTGAACTCTGAAGCTGCAGCAGATATAGGATTGTTATTTCTTTGATAAGAATGACTGTGGGAAATGGGAATATGGCTGTTATGCAAGTCTCCTCCTCACACTGTGAATCACAGAGCAGCAGCTTGATTGGTGCTGTGCGGCTCTCAGGTGTCCTGGGGGGTGGATGAGTAATGTTGTGTTTCTCATGGAGAGCCAAGGGAGGGGGAGGGGGGGGGGGGGGGGGGTGCGTGCTTGAGTCTCCTCTCCCACCAGACACTCACAGATACCTGGAACTGGCCTTTCCCATTCAGAAGAACTGAGGTGGAAGCCATCATGTGCAATTTTTCCAACTTATTGTATTCATTTTAGTTGTAACAGAGATCAGAACAATTTCTCTCATTCATCAAAATGCAAGAAATCTTTCCGGGCATGTGTTTAAAGATTTGATTTGACAAACTAGCTGGCAGTCTTTCCGCACAACCGGCTGTGGATCTCAATGATTTTCCCAGTCACTTGTTCCCCTTTTAATATCTTAAAGTTCAACCAAGCTCAGGCCTTTAGTGTGTTTTGTGTATATAGACTCATTTCTTTAATAGCTGCTTGTTGTTCGTAGGTATCAGTTTACCCAGACAGCATGCCATTCATTATACAGAGTGGGGCCGTGATATGCTTTGACCTGAGCTACTGTAGAGTTCAGCGTGTGTTCTGGTTAATAATAGACACCAATTAACTATGTAGTAATGAGGCTGGATAATGGAGGAGGGGATGTTCACCCTATGTTCAACTGACTTAACATGGCTGAGAGGCTGTGGATGCTGGGGAAACACTATGTAATCAAGTGAAGAATATGTACTGGGATACAGTTCTGTACGATGGCAACAAGATTTGTCTGACAGCACTTTACTCAATTATGTGTCAAAGATGTTAGCCAGGTTTAGTAACGGATTCATTAACCTGCTGTGGATTGTTGTTTGAGAGCTGGGGTACGATTGCAAAAGCTCTTGTAATAAAAGGAATAGAAACTTCTTGTAAGTTCACAATATTGAAAACTAATATCATTGTTTATCAATATTTAAACTTTTTTTACATTCAATTTGTAGAACTTATGGGTTATTAACTGGATATTAGAGCTGAGGCTTTTGCCTATTTGCATTATCAGTAAATTATTTCTAAAGATGTTAAAAATGTTCATCACAAGGTGTCGTCTTCAAATTGCTTGTCCCTCTAACATTCCAAAACAAAAATATATTGAGTTTACAGGGATACAGATCAGAGATGATTACTTGATTTGTAAAGATGTATGACGATTAGTTTCAACACTACTGCTTATTTTTACATATAAAAAAGTAAAGGAGAAACCTTTCGTCAAATCAAGTCAAGTCTTGAAGTAATTATTATTAATTAATATAATTATTGTTTTCTCGATTTAATCGATGAGTTGTTTGGTCTATAAATTGATCGAAAAATGTCGATCAGTGTCTCCGTAAGCCCAAGACAATGTCCTCGAATGTCTTGTTTTGTCCACAACTCAAAGATATTCGGTTTACTGTCTTGAAGGAGTCAAGAAACTAGAAAATATTCACATTTAAAAGCTGGAATTAGAGAATTGTGACCTTGTAATTATTTTCATATCTCCATCAGATCTCAAGGTAATAGAATTGACTAGATTCAGGATTGAGTTCCTCCTCTTCTAGTTACAGTCTTCAAGGTTTCTGCTGTGTAGCAGCTTTGAGACAGCTGCTGCTTTGCTCCGGTCAGAAGGTCTGACTGGAGCAGTGAGTACAGTCAGAGCCACCTGTGACGGTCTTCAGTGTTTTAGGTGAGAGTGTGATGAAGTGACACACCCAGAGGGGCCGACCTTCTTCCGATGGCTCCATCATTTGTAACTTTAGATCAGAAGCGACTCTTTCGCCAATAAAAAGGCCTGGTGCTGTCCAGATGCCCCGCTCCTGTACCCGCGTCTCCTAGCCTGATAAAGTGCGTTCGCCGTCTGCTCACCGCTGACGGAACGAGCCGAGCAGCAGCTGGTCGCTCCAAAGAGTCTGAAACCATCTCATGGATATCTTTTACATGGCAACAATCACCCCATTGTTGTCCCGATGCATGGGACTCCCCTAGCAACAAACTGAGGAAAGTATGCGTCAGCAGTTTTTTTTCACAGTAATGTGTGTGTGTGTGTGAGTGAGTGTGAGTGAGTGAGTGAGAGAGAGAGAGAGAGGGAAAAACTCCACCTACTTTAACCTCCGTCACTGTAAGGACACAAAGAAAGCCATTGAGGGGATCAAAGACTTTGTGATTGAACCGGACTGGAATTTGGAGCACTGAACAACAACTGTTTAAGATGCACAGCTTGGGAGTGTGTGGGCATTGTAATGTCTGCAGCTCCTGTATTTATATTGAGTGTGTGTGTGTGTGTGTGTGACCATGAGCAGAGATCATTTGCTTTGTACCGATGCTGCTCACAGAAGACAACAGGCAGTGTGTGGCATCGAGTACCAAAAGTCTGCATTAAAAATATGGTCAGATGGGTAATCTTGTTCACTTATTGTTTAGTCAGATACTGATTTGAATCATAATCTTGCCATTTTTAGACTGTATTTTACTCTGGCAGGTCTGCTTGTGTTTAGACAGCATTCAACATAAATGAGAGATCTGCCATCTGCGTCTTGTAGGTATAAGGTAGCAGCTACCGACCACATACATGCACGCACATTCTTCGTAGATGCTTTACTTTCTACTTTTATCTCACAATCATTGTGACAAAAGATAAAATAGTTGCCACTGCACTAATTTAAACAACCTAAACCTACCAACAACACGGTTCCACCACCGGTTTTCGGTCTGAAGCCTGAGAGTCTACAGACACGCTAGCAGCTCTGTGAGGCTGGATTTAGGCACATTGGTGCTTTGAGCTTAATGTCAAAGTCTAAATGTTTACGATGTTTACCTTAGTATAGTGTGTTGGCACGCTCACATTTGCTAAATAGCATTAAACACAGAGTAGAGTGGAGGCTGATGGGAATGTCAATAAATTGTGAGCGCTAGGGAGCAAGCCAGAGGATCACCAAAGTTACTACAATTCATTCTGATGGGAACGTGAATGACTGTACCAAAATGGAATGGAAATCCATCCAATAGTAGTCGACAGCAAGGCTGGCATTGCTGTCTCTGGAGCCATGCCGCTAGCATGGCTAAAGCGTATTGGTGTTGAAACTCGGATGTCCTATCGGCACTAGTATCGATACATTTAAAAACGATGCACAGCCCTACTCCTAATGGTGCGTGCCATCGACACAGTCCCTACAAATGACTCCTAAATGTATCGCATGTCCAG